AGATTTAAACAAAGTTAAAGTCAAAGTTAAACTATCTAAAAAAAATTCAAACACGATGACTTTTATACAATTATAGACAATTTTTAACTTTCAAGACGAATACAATTTTACACTGAATTTCATTCCTAACATTCTCCCCCTTTGTATTCAGACTTGAAAGAATTTGCGCGCTTTGAGTCTCGTTTGAACTTTGTTGCTTTAAGCACTCTATGTCTTCTTCAAAACAATCTCCAACTTGAAATCTTCAGGCAATCGTTTGTTGAGAAAGATCTTCTAACATTCTCCTCCTCGAATGTAGAACAACGATGATCTTAATAACAATCTTCATAATTAAACTTTAACAAACTTTCTCTTCAAATGTAGTCTTCATTAGTAAACTGTTGTAATTGATCTTCACATTCAACAACTTTCAGACATTGTAGCACAAGAATAATCTTTTGAATCATCTTCAATCGCACTCTTTTTGAGTCTTTTGCCATCGTTGAAGTTACTCCCCCTTGATCTTTACAACAAATTCCCCTTATAATGTTCGGAATTGAACATTTCATTCATTATTACTTACTCCCCCTTATGATGAAATGAGAATCATGACATCATACACAAGAATGAACGAAATTTTCTGCGAAAGCCGTCAATTCATGAAATTGTAAGTAGATCTTCTCAAATCCATTTGTTTAATCTTTTCAGATTAAGGGAATGGGAAGGTAACAACCAATTCCAACGAATGAAATTGTTTTCAATCTTATGAAAAGATTGGTCTGTGAGTATAACAGATATATTAAGTACAACAAATGTACTGTATATACGAGACTTTTTGAGGCTCATCTCACCAGGTCTTCCATTCAATCATCGATAGTTTAATAATAGCATATCTATGAATGTTTTGGCAAAATAACATATAAAATGCAAAATCTATGTAGTGTAGAAAGATAAAGCAACGTATGCTTCTGTTTAGGCTCAAAAAGATAAACCGTATGGACTACACAAATTTAGCAGACTCAATTAGTGATCAAAAAGACTTGAAGTGGGGACATATATCATTATGATTCAATATCAACTTTCTCCGAATGAGAAATTGATAGATGATGAGCTGCGTGCCCAAGTTTTATTGAAACACTTATTTGTTAAGAGATAAATGAGTAGCTGATGGGGTTGTGAAAAGAATTGGCCTAGGCTTTGCCTTTTTCAATATTAGTCTCGAAAGAATTGAGAACTAATAGATTGTGTGGTATGCCCGGATTTTAGAAGTTTGGAACAGGATTCTTATATTCTGTTATTCCTGACACAACTCTCGTCAATTCTTTTAGCTAACAACAACTACCCCTCTTTTTTTCATCTTAAGCTCTACACACAAACCCTTTTGTATTTAATCTTACTCAGATATGATTGTCCTCTTGGGTAGGTATGTCGGTTCTGACATTCCATAGAGCATCTGATAAGCATTCAGTCCCTCCTAAATTTAACAATATGCTCAGTTGATCACAATGATTGATCAAAATGTTATTGCAAATAAAGCACAATGATCATATAAAATTTGATCAAAATATTTGGCTTTTAAGCACAATCAATAAAAGAATGATGCGACAACCATCAGATTATTCGGTATATGAGAGAAATGAATGAAGATCTGCAAACAACCTTTGAATACAAACGAGTGTATTATCACCGAAAATGATTTATATAAGAGAAGTGATAATAACAGTTTGAAGAATAGCTGAAACAGGTATTGGAGTTATGTACGATGAGAAATTACGGAAGTAAAATCTCAGGAAATACTTGTTCAGAAAATGTACTCGTTTTAAAAAAAAAATTCACTTTCCGAAAACATTTATTGAACTTCTAGAGACTCCCCCTAGAAAGTAGATTATAGAAATGTATCGATTCGGCTCAAAAATTAAAAAAAAATTGGAAACACGTTTAGCACATGACCTAAACTGGATGTTTAGAAATCACACTCGGTAAAGTACGGGTCCTGAACTGAGTTGTTTAGAAGCCTTTTATTTAGACAGTTTACAACTCCCCCTGAATTAGTGCATCAATGGGATGATATTATGATCAGCGCAAAATTGACACACCTGCAAAATCAGATCAAATAGATTTTGGTACCCAAATGAATTTGGCTCCTATTTTGTTAGTATCGGGCTGGGGTATGTTGTAACTTCCAAACCATCTATTTCTATTAGATGTTTTCTTTTAGCACTTTGAACAGGATGATCGGATACAAAATATGATCCATACCAATTATTATAATCATACATGTTCTTACCTTTCCAATCCTTCTGATATCTGTTGTCTGTACTCCATATGTTGTATGTCTTCTTGTTCACAAAATTTGTTGTTTTGCATGTGGAGCACATGATTCTTCTCTTGCTAAGATGAATCAAATCAGGAGTAGATCTTACAAAACAAGGAAGATGATTAGTAACAACAGGGGTACGAGATGAAACAGATTCAATTTTATTAACCCAAATGCTTTAACCTTAGAAGAGTAATTAGGTGATCTAATGACATACCCTTCATAATATTGATTAGAAGAATGAGAATAGTTCTTAGAAATAGTTGATTTAGGGCTGCTTGAATAACTGTTCGATTTGGAACAGTCGTAGAAGCTAGTTTTACACTAAGAAGGAGAACCAATTGAGCTTTGAGCACAAGAAAAGTCTTTAACTTTCTGTAAAAGCTGGTCTCTTTCCACAGTAACTAAATCATACTTATTTTTTAGTTCTGTTCTCATCTTCAATTCAATTTCAAGGTCTGTCTTCAGATTAGACAATTTCTTTGTAGAATCCAGGAGTTTACCTTCCAACTCCTTCTTGAGCATTTCAAACTTCTTCTTTTGATTTATAAACTCTCTTCTTTCTTAATCTGAGCTGCTTTTCTCATTCTCAGAAGCGATGTCAAGCCACTTTTTTCTTTTCAGCAACCTCTTTAGCAATAGTTGTATGTTTCTTTATAGTATTTCTCTTCTCAAGAGCAAATTGCTTCTTCTCTTCATCTAAAGCCTTCTGCTTTAGAGCAATGCTGTCAGATAATTTATGTGTTTGGCTCTGACACTCTTCTGTGATGTCTTTCTTCTCTTTATCATTCTTGGCACGTTCCAAGATGATCAGTTGCTCAAAATCTGATATTTGCTTTAACAACATTTTTGCGTTCAGCTCGAGAGAGTTTATCTTATTCTGATAAGATAAGCGTTCAGCATCAAACTTTTTCTCTCTTTCATAAACTCTTTTCTTCTCCTTTTCAAATTCATTTCTTAACTCACACAAATCACTCTCAAATTTATGAAGTTTTCCAGTTAAATCCTCAGTATCTATATCATCTTTCTCAGAAGAATTCCTCTTAGATTGTAGATCTAGAAGTTTGTTGAATAATTTCTTAATAGCATCACTCCAAGTCTTTAATTCTTCTTCACATTCTTTTCTAACAATGTTCAAAGTTCTCTCAAATTCGCAAGTCTTATCTGATAAAGTGTTGGGTCATTGACCAACATCTTTCTAAATCGAAACGTGCCGCTGGCTGCTACGATAAAAGAAATAAGTTGCGCCTTCTCCACCAGCAATTGCTTTTGGCGTAGTGGTAAGCGCTTGGATCCTAACATGTGGTATCAGAGCAGGTCACGGGTTCGAATCCCATGGATTGCATAATGATGCAAAAGGCATGTTATGCAGCCATTGACTATTAGCGAAGATCTTGTTAGTGCTGGCAGATGCTGGGGGGATTGTTGGGTCATTGACCAACATCTTCCTAAATCGAAACGTGGCGCTGGCTGCTACGCTATAAGGAAATAAGTTATGCCTTCTCCACCAGCAATTGCTTTTGGCATAGTGGTAAGTGCTTGGATCCTAACATAAAGCCTTTTTAGAATTTTCTCTTAAGGTTTTATTTTCTTCTTGCAGATTCTTGATAAAATCTTTATATGCAAAATTCTCATCAAACATATTAATGTATTTTTCTTTGTAGCCCTCTACTCTTCTTTCCAATTCAACAATTATCTCTCTCAATTCCTTATTATCTCTCTCCAACGAAACTGTCATTTTAAAAACAGATTGATTAATCGGATCAAATGCTGTGAAATCAGATAAAAGAAATCAAAAAAAGTTAAACTCAAACACAGAAATAGAAAAACACAAAAACTAATGAGAACTGCCATTTTAAAAACAGATTGATTAATCAGATCAAATGTTGTGAAATCAGATAAAAGAAATCAAAAACAGTTAAGCTCAAACACACAAACAGAAAAACACAAAAACTGACGAGAACTTAAAAAAACGACGAAAAACTATCAAAAATCAGTAAAAACAGTCAAAACTATTAAAAACAGTTAAAACTGATAAAAAACAGTTTACGCGACAGAAAACAGTTTAAGGTTTCTCAAACAGTTTAAAAAACAAAAACAAAACAGTAAAACACATAAAAAAATCAAAAACACAAAAGCTCAAAATCCGAACACTTGTTACAAGAAAAAAGGCTAAGGTGTTGTCCGATTAACACCAAATCCGGGTAATATATTATGCAAGAAAAGCTGCTGCAACCAAATGGATTATTCGATTACAGTGTCAAACAATTTATTCAAGTCCGTTCATCGTACCAAACGGTTTAGCCAAGCCCGCTCACTGTATCAAACAATAAAGTCAAGTCCGCTCATCGTATTAAAAAATTAGCTAAGAATATGAGCTGATATGGTCTAAGTTCGGACAGAGTTATGTCCGGATTACACAAAACATAAACACAAAGTTCATCCAAGCAATATATAAACCACTAATCCTTGCTGATCGTGATCTTCCTGGCTATGCCAAGCTGCTCCACAGAGGTATTTTCAACAAGCAAATCCAAAATAATAAATCCAACTCCTCAAAGCAGATTGATGATCCCATTGTTTACAAGCTTGCTCGGGTTGAAGGTGATGGAAGATTTGTACCTGTAACTGATGATGATAAGAATTCAGCACACCTGAAATGTCCCCTGAACCACTTAGGCAGAAAAGATTATGTACACACAAACACAAAACATAAATATTAACAGCAACCAAATTGTGATTTTGAACCTCCTAAATCCAACAAACAATAACATTCCAATTGTTTAAGATCAAAAAAACTGGTGATGTTTCTGTACCAACTGCACAAACTGTGAAATTCATCATAGACGATGGCTCAAATAGAGTGTTGGTGATTTCTGCAACTGACAGCTGCTTATCTACCTGATAGGCACGAAGCTAATGACTGCTATAAAGAACTAAACAAAGGGATGTATGGAGATCTTGGTGACCCATTATTGGGAAGCTACATCAACTGTTTCTGTGTTTCTGTATCAAGATCAACAACATAGGCCACCCTTTTCTTTCTTCAGCTGTTCAAAATCAAAAATAATTGCTACGCAACAGCTGTCAAATTGGATGAATATTTGTTTCTTAAACAACAACATCAAAAGCAGGAGCTTCAACATTTGGGCAATCAATCTTATGGACAACTGCAAACATTGGGCTTACCTGTTGTAAGCTCTGCGTTGGATCATCTTGGGTTTCAGCCTGCACATTTGCATCATCAAAACAGATTAAAACAGTGAGTGACTAAATTGAAATCAACCAGATTCTAAATACAGTGTAAAACAAATTTCTTCTCTCGAGATTTACAAATCTGTCACCACTGTATGGTGTTGGTTCACCGAGTAAAAAGATCCACTAAGAAGGATGATGTATCTTCTAGATCAATGAATTATAATCCACCAGCTAGTGTAAGTCCAGCAGACACAAATGCAGAAGAAGCACTTAACACATTGAAGTATGCCAATCGAGCTCGTAACATTCAAAACAAAGCTATTGTGAATCGTGATCCAGTTACAACTCAAATGCAAAGAATGAGGAATCAAATCCAGATGAAATAGACGACTGACAAACAGAATCCCTTTTGTCGCATGTAAGTTCTTGGTTGTTTTCAATCGATTCAACAGGGGTAGTAGCTTCAAGCGTCGCAAGAACTCTGATCAAGTATCCTGGAGTCTCAGAGCTCAAATGGTCAAAAAAATCTTTCACCATAGATCCATCAGAAGTTGTATATGAGCTACTATAATGTAAGTTACAAAGAAATCGAACAATCTGTGCTATTAATCACATAAATCGGACAATATGTCATTGACTATGTTAACCACAATCGCAGTCCACAGCAAAACAAATCCCAAATAGGTCTTTAAACAATTTAGACAAACAGACTATGATGAACCTGTGAATACCTGTGTTCGATTGATAGGTCAAAAACAAGATATGCAGGTACAAGACGCAATTCGTTATCTTCCTTTGGAAAAACAAGATAATCCGGCTGAAGTCTGAACCTGTGAATACCTTAAAATAGTCGACCCTTTGTGAGATTTAGAGAATCCGGTCAAGGAATAAACCAGCGATTTATAGAATCTGCTCACCAAGTCAAAGTAAAGCCAAGCGATTTATAGAATGATCCGCTCAAACTATGTACAATGAACAACCTAGTTGTTGGGTTCGAGTATGCGCGTTATTGTTGTATTCAAGTTCTCCTTATTTTACATGTTTTGTAATATAATAGTTTTATTCCTTCCTTAGTATAAATAGTAGTTTATTTTTTAATTGTAATTAGCAATTTCATTAATCGTTCTGTAATCTGAGTTTAGCTTGTAATTCTCTCTCAATCAATCAAGAGACATTTGGTGATCTACTCTCTCTTCATCTTATTCATCTTGTTCTTGAAGATCATTGTCATGTTTGTATGAGAATTTGGACATTTCAATTGGTATCAGAGCAGACTGCAGCAGTTTGATTAGAGGATTAAACGAATTTGCACGAATTTACACGATTTTAGTGGATTATCGATCTGAGTTCTTCATCTGTTCATATCTGTTCTTCGTCCAGAATCTGTTTTTGGGCTTAATTTGATTGAATTTTGATTGTTAATTGATATACTTTGCATCGCTAGATTCATAATTGGATATAGAGCAAGTTTGATTCACACTGTTTTTGGTTTTAAACAAGTTTTGAACCAGATTTGATCGATTTTTGAGTTTTCGAATACTGTTGAATATTCTTCAAAATTCATAAATTTTCATATTTTGATCCAAAATTTTGATGGAAAAGTGTGAAATTTGTGTTTTTGGTTGATTTTTAGTCCAATTAACTCTTGGTCGATTTAGGTTGTACATCGTTTAAAGCTTGTACGGTTTATTCTTGTAATATTTTTGTGTGAATTGATCTTGATCGGATTAGGTTAAACCGGATAACTCTTGTGCGGATTGTTGAGCGATTTAAATATGTTGGGTTCAAGATTAGAGTTAAAATGTTGTATTCAAGTTTCTCCATTTGCTTAGCTTAATTGTAATTAGTTTAGTTTTATTTTCCTTAGTATAAATAGTCTTTCCTTTGTAATTGTAATTACACACTTTGATTACATCATAATTCAAAAAGGTGATTTGACAGCCAAGTAATTCTCTTTCTCCAATCTATCTTACATTCTTATTCATTCATCTTTGTTCTTGAGCTTTTATGAAGATCTGATCAAGATTTGTATGAAATATGGACTTCACAAAATAAATCGCTTGGTAAGTCGATTGTGCTTTGTGCGGATTATTGAGCGATTAAGGAAATTTGTTTGACAAGGTTTGTATTTTGTGCGATTTATTGAGCGATTTAGGTAATCCACTTGGTAAGTCGATTGTGCTTTGTGCTTGGTAAGCGATTTAATTGAAGTCCGGTTATAGCCTGAGCAAATTGGTAAGCGATTTAAGGGTTAAGGTTGAGCGATTTATTCTTTGTTGAATCTATTGAATGATCGTACTTTGACTTTGACTTTTTGGACGGATTTGTGAACGGATTTTGACTTTGTATTGTGATCGATTTAAATCCTTGACTTTTTGATCAAATTGATTTTAAGCGGAATTATACGTATTTTGACTAGTTGACTTGTTGATTTTTTTTTTCGTCCGAATTTCATTTTGAAATTTTGACTAAGTGTTGAAATCATCCGATTTAAGAATTTTAATCCAAATTGATTTTTGTGCCTTATCCGTATTGATTTTTCTTGTGCGATTTAATGCTCTTTGTTGTCTGGACTTCTAATCCGGATAACTTCTTAGTTCGTTGAAAAATTTAAGTCTAGGTTGTCCGGACTTCTAATCCGGATAAGCTTGACCGGATTCCTAATCCAGATAAGCTTGTGTGCTTAATTTTTTCTATGTGTTGAATGTGTGCATATTCTTGTTTGAGATTTAACAGATATATTTTTGTATACTGATCCTTTAATACAAACTTTGAACTGCAGTTGATCCTATATCATACGAACTGATAAAATGAGTTTAAGGGAAGCAATGGCTATTGGTACTGACACCAAGCCACCAGTGCTTTTTCCCGGAGACTATAATCAATGGAGAGATAGATTTCTGAATTTCATAGAGAGGATGAAGGAAGGAGATCTGATCATGGAATCCTTGGTGGAAGGTCCTGTTGTGTACTACCGAGAGATACCTGCTATTCCAAAACAAGGCATACTTGCTCAGACTGTTATAAAAGAAAATTTCAGATATTCAGCTCAAGAAAGAGAAAGAGCCCATGCTGATCTGCTTTGCAAATCCTACATGATGCAAGCACTGACCAATGACATTTACACCAGCATTGACAATTATAAATCATCTGGTCATAGCATGTGGGTTCAAATTGAAAAGATGATGATGGGTTCTAGAGTGGAGACTCAGTTGAAAATTACTAACTGTATATCAACATATGAAGAATTCAAGGCTAAAGATGGTGAGAGCCTTGATGATGTCTATGATAGGCTTACCAGACTGCTTAATGATCTAATAAAGAACGGAATCTCTAAAACTGTAATAGAGATAAATGTTAAATTCCTCATCAATCTTCAACCAGAGTGGAAACCATTTGCTAATCATATCAGATTCAATAAATCATTATCTGATCGATGTTCATGAAATCTATGAAACTCTGAAGCAGAACGAGGAAGATGTTTTGGAGATCCGAAATTAAAAGAAGAAGAAAGAGAAGGAAGTTGTTGATCCTTTGGCTTTTGTATCTGAGAAGAAAGAGAAGAAAGTAAAGAGCAGATCTGGAAAGCAAGTGAAGGAAGTTAGCCAATCAAGTGAATCTAAAAAAGAAGCAAGTAACACTTAAGATTCAGACTCTGAAATGTCCGAAATTAGAAATGCCATGGCGATGCTCACTAAAGCATTCCAGAAGAAATTCCTGAAACGGCCACACTCGAACAACCAAAGATTCTCGTCGGGCTTAAAATATGAATACAAATAAAAATTTGGCGAGAAGAAGAAATATGAAGAAAAGAGGTTCGAGAAGAAGTATGAGAAGAAGTCGGACGAGAAGAAGAAGTTTGGCAAAGGCGTAGCTAACGAGAACACTAAATGTTATAACTGTGGCAAGCTAGGCCACTTTGCTGTAAATTGTAGGAAGCCGGTAACTCGAAATACCGACTATTACAAAAATAAATTTCTTCTCTCTAAGCAAAGTGATGCCGAGAAAGTGCTTATGGCAGAGGATGATCACTGGCTAAATCTGACTGATGAAGAGGAAGAAACTGAAGTTGTTGCGCATGTGTGCTTGATGGCTAAATCAGATAATTGTTCTTCAGATTAAGAAGAAGAACAGAGTGCTGAAATGAATGAAGAGGTATTGGAGCAATCATGCATTAAACAGATGCATAAGATAATGCTCAAACTCCAATCTTTCCAGCAAGAATTAAAATCAGAAAAAATGCGTTCAAACAATTTGGAAAAAGAGTTAAAAACGCAAAAAGAAAATACATCAAACTGTTTGATGAAAATGCTGGAAACTTGGACTGGGCTAAATCTTTGTTATCTGAGTCCAAATTATTTGATGAAAAATCCAATATCTTAAAAGCCGAATTATCCGATTTAAAGAAAAATTATAGATCATTAGAATTAGTTAATGAAGAACAAATAGTTAAAATCAGTAAGCTTGAACTTCAAATAATTCAATTAAATAAAAAACTGAAGTCTAAAGAGGAAGTTTTATATAAACGAGGACAAACTGATCAAACCATTTTTCTAAACAAACCATCTGAAGCGAGATTCTTTAACCCTCGGGAAGGGTTGGGGTATGAAAATCCAAATCTTTTAGGAAAAGCTTTATATTATGCCCCGACCTTCTACAAATTTGAATATCTTGATTGCACTCCCGAGTTTTCAGTAAAATTTACAAAAAATCTTCTGATGAGGTCGAACAACGAGAAGATTACAATCGTCAAAGAAAAGATAAAATGCAAGTTCCGTTTGATTATACAAATCTTAATGAAAGTTATAATAATCAAGACTCTGCACTTTCAACAGATTATTTTCACAGTTATTCAAAGGCAGAACTTGAATCAAAACCAGCTGAACCAAAAATTTACACTCCTACTCTAATTTTAGAAAAACAAGTGGTTCAGTTGGAAAAGATTTTAACTGAAGAAAGACTTTCACATAAAATTGAAGATTTACAAAATTCTAAAATAAAAACGGAACATGTTGAGTCTGAGTATTTTTCGTGTGAAAAATCTTTGAGTGAAGCCTCCGATTTTTCGTTTGAAATATCTTAAATTCAGATGTTTGTTTAGATATTGAGATTGATCGTTTTGATTTTTCAAACAATTTACCCAGTCATGAAGATTTTATAGTTAAAAATAATATGACTGTGGATTCCGATTTAGCTTCAGATTTTGAAAAGAATTTTAGTCAAAAACCTGTTTCCGAGGATGTGTATTATAAAAAGAATAAAACAAAAAAGAATTCGAGGAAACAGAAGAAGCTTACAAAGAAAAATAAACAAAAAGTTCGACATTCAATTAAATCTGATAATTTTCTTTTTCCTATTTCAAATAAGGCGTTGAAGTTTAAGACTATTTGGAGAGTAAAAGAAGAAGACAAATAATCAACTCAACAGATGAAGAATAATTTTACTTTCAACAGATTATTTCTCGAAGGGATTCATCCTAGAATCTGTGAGTTYHTKTACAACHCTCCCTACGTCCCAATGAATCTAATTCCTAGAGTTCCAGCAACTGGAACCACACCTGAAATACCTGAGCACTACGAACC